AGCATGGCTGGGAAGCTACGGACGCCGGTCTGCTGAGGAGATGTGAGAGAAGAGCGATTCCCTAACCCTGTAGGGAGCCTACCTTGCCCTGGAGTGAGAGAAGGTTGGGCCCGGGTGCCTTCTGGGCCGGAGCGGTGGAGGCTTGTAGCGCTGTGTGGGAGTGGTGTCGGTGCAGCGTGGGAGCGGACGGAGAGGCCGCTCATGTGAGAGGTCGGAGCTGGTGTGAAGAGGAAAAGCGGTGGAGGAAGGAAGGAGAGAGACAAAGAGAGGACCCGGAGAAGAGTGAAAGGACCCGTAGGTGCCCCGGATACTGCCTGAAGATGGTGGAGTGGCAGCCACAGGTCAGAAGGGGAAAGGAGCAGTTGCTGGGTCCGGAGTATGGGGATCTAAGGTTAGTCCCCAGAGATTGTGTCTCTCTCCTGATATACGTGTTGTTGGTGTAATGGCTGGTGCAGATTCCCTGGAGAGTAGTTTTTCTGAGGGTGTGTAGAGGACACTTTCCAGCATATTGGATACATCATGAAGATGTGCGGTGGATGATTGAATCTGGCTGGGTAAGGACTGGTGACTGGAATTAAGAGAACCCAGGGTCAGTGCTGGCGGTTATTGTGTACATGTTTAAAGTCAGCGGTGGGAAAGGTTAATACTGGCTATATAGCCGAGGTGTGTCAAGTACTGTACAGCAGTCCCGCAATAAAATTTAAAACGGCAGACTCACACCAAATTGTGTACAGCAGATCTGCACCAAGCTTTATACAGTGGACTCCTGATAAGCACTACATACAGTTGCAGGAAAAAGTATGTGAACCCCTTGGGATTACGTGGAGTTTTGCATGAATTGGGCATAAAATGTGCTCTGAACGTCATCTAAGTCACAACAATAGAAGAACACAGTCTGCTGAACATAATACTACACAAAAATTAGATGTTGCCATGGTTTAATTGCACATAACATGTAAACATTCACAGTGTTCACTAATTCCCATGAGAGAGAGAAATGTTAGATAAAATTTGGAGATTTCCGTCTGGTTTGGTTGGGTGGAAAGATGGAAGATCGGCAAGATTGAGATTTCCAGAAGATTATAATGATTTCTGTGGGAAATTAGACTTGCAGAAAGTGAATATAGAAGGGTGGTGGGAGGGGATTAGAGAAAGAGACACTTGGGTTCCAGGTGAAAGGCAATAAGTAGGCAGGAGGTAGATCTTAGAAGTGGAGAATGGGGGGGCAATGGACGGAGAGGAGGGATGGTGGAGGAGTTATTTATATACCCTCCTTTGGGTGGGGGGGAGGGTTTTTTTTTGAGGGATTGTAGAAGCGAACGATTCGCTTCTACAGGATCCGGAAGTTAAGAAGAGGATAAAAAAGGAAATTTAACTATTTTTTTAGATAAATGAGACCGAGGGAATGTCTGAGGCAACTGTTTGGGAGTCACATAAAGCCTATATTAGAGGATTACTGATTGCCATAGGTATAGAGAAGAAGAAGGAAAGAGGGAAAAAAAAATAAAACAGGTTATAGAAGAACTACAAAAATTTAAACAAACGCACACAAAGGAAAAGGGGATAGATAAGTATCAGAGGATTATACAAAAAAGAGATAAGTTAAAAGATTTGATGGAACAGGACTCCAGGAGGATAATTAATAAAATGGCAAAAGAAAGATATCAATGGGGAAATAAACCGGGAAAATATTTGATGAGAGGACTTAGGAATAAACAAACAAAGAACTTTATCGGAAAAATTAGTGATGGAAAGGGAGAGAATTTGTATAAAACATCAGATATAGCAAGGCGGTTTCAAAACTATTACAGGGACCTATATAATGTAAGAAAAGGTAAAGCAGGGGGAAGTGAGGAGGAGAGGAAAAGAAGACAGGACTACCTAAGTGCGGTGGACCTTACACACGCGGCAAAGGAGAAGTTAGAAAATCTTGAAAGTCCCATTACCCCAAGGGAAATTAATGAAGCCTTAAAAATTATGAAAGTAGGTAAAAGCCCTGGGCCAGATGGGTATACAGTAAGATGCTTGAAGAAATTTAAAGATATATTGGTTCACAAAATCTGTAAATATATGAATGCAATAGGAGAGGGATTGGGAATGAGGGAAGAATCCCTCAAGGCTCATATCAGCCTCATTTTGAAGGAGGGGAAGGATGGCTCCCAATGTGCAAGTTATAGACCGATGTTAAATGTAGATACTAAATTGTATGCAAAGGTACTGGCAGCGAGATTGAAAGACTTGATGTCTGATTGGGTGCATATGGATCAGGTGGGGTTTGTACCCGGTAGAGAGGGGAGGGACAATGGTTTGAGATCTTTGTTGTTGGTTCAAAAAGCTAAGAAAGGAAAAACACCTGTGATTCTGTTGTCGATAGACACAGAAAAGGCATTTGACAGGGTTAATTGGGGGTTCATGATTGATGTAATAGGGAAATTGGGAATGGGACCTAGAATGTTGAATTGGATAAAAGGATTATATATCTGCGGCGGTAAAAGTCAATGGAACCTTCTCTCAGTTTTTTGAGATGTTGAATGGAACCAGGCAGGGTTGCCCCCTGTCCCCCATGCTGTTTGTGTTATCATTAGAACCATTGTTGGAGAGAGTAAGGAGAAGTAAGGATATAAGAGGGATAGAAATAGGAGACAAGGAGCACAAAGTCGCTGCATATGCAGATGACTTGATGTTCTATGTGGCCAACCCTAGTATATCATTACCCAACTTAATGAAAGAACTTAAAAAATATGGGGGGAAGATTTATCCAGTCAAATTGGAAATCCTAAACATCAATCTTATAGACCTAGAAAAGAGAAGGCTGTAAGGAATGTTCACTTTTTCCTGGAAGAAAAATTAAATTGGATAACTTGGAATAAATTAACATCGGTAAAAAGTTTATATCAAACGAACTATATTCCCCTGATAAACGAGATAAAAGATGAGCTGAAAAGACTAATAAAAGGAGGGGTCTCTTGGATTGGAAGAATTAACTTAGTTAAGATGGTGATACTCCCTAAAATCTTGTATAAATTTCAAATGCTTCCGATATCATTACCTGGAGTTTTTTTTTGCAATAATCCGAAAGATGATTAGTAAGTTCATATGGGCAATTAAGAGGCCTAGGATTAGTTATAAAGTGTCATGTAGAGTAAAAGCAAATGGAGGTTTAGGGTTACCAAATATAAAGAATTATTACACAGCGGTAATTTTATCACGGGTGATAGATTGGTTTTTTTAATACACAGAGGAAACGTTGGGTAAGAATAGAAGAAGAATTAAGTAAAGCACATTTAGACAAAGTGATTTGGATACCTCATGGGTTTCATGCCCTGGATGTAGAGACAAGTAGATTGACGTGGATAGTACTGGATACATGGGATAAATTACACAATAAGGAAAAATGGAAATTTAATTCATTTTTGATACCGTTAGTTGGGACAGATTTTTTTGCACCTGGAAATGTTAAAATTAGTGGGAGATGGATTAAAAATAAAAATGCACGGTTGAAAGATATTATAAAAGGGGGGAGATTGAACACGTTTCAGAATTTAAAGGAAAATGAGGATTTGTTTGTTAGGTTTGATGAGTGGAGCTATAATCAGTTATCACATTTTTTACAAATTTACCACAACCACTGAGGGAGGGAGAAGATATGAATCCACTTGAAAAATTAATGAATATAGATGTAAGTCCAAAACATATCACCTCAAAGATATATAGGATGCTCATGAATTTAGAGGAAGTAGAGTCCCCTGGGTATTGGGATAAATGGGAAAAGGAATTAGGAATAAAAATTAACCCCCAGCAAAAAAAAGGCATATGTAATTTAACGCATAAAGTAACAAACATGCGTATTGTGGAGATGAATTTTAAGTGTTTGGCAAGATGGTATATAACACCAAGTATTGCCCATAAGCAGCTGGGGGATTGTTCCCCATGGTGCTGAAGGGGATGTGGAGAAAAGGGTAATATGGGACAAATTTGGTGGAGCTGCCCGAAGATACAGGACTACTAGAAGGAAATAGCATATTATATTCAAGAGATGTGCGGGGTAAATATCCAGGGAGACCATCTGAAATGTTTATTCTATTATTCTGAGCCCAATGTAGGAACAAGTATGAATAAAGTACTATATCATCTAATTAGTGCAGCAAAAGGTTTAATACCAAAGTTCTGGTTAGTAGTAAATGTTCCCAAGATGGTGGATTGGAGGGATAGAGTGGAAGGCATTTATAGGATGGAAGAACTGAGATGTGTAGATGAGGATAAGATGGGAACGTTTAAAAAAGTATGGAATGTTTGGAGGCAATTTAAAAACTGAGAAAGTTATGCACAATTAATTAGAGCAAAAGAGGTAGCCTAAGATGTTATAGGAAAGTTAGATGAAATAAAAAAAGGGACGGGAAAGGATATAGATAGAGAGAAGATTGGGATGTTTGGGGGGGAGGGGGGGAGGGAAGGGGTGGGTCAATTGGAAGTGTTTATAACACGGGAAAATGAGAAAAGTATATGCTGTATGAGAAAATGTTTTAATGATGTTTGTATAATTATGAAATAAAAAGATGATTAAAAAAAAAAAGAAAAAGCCTGGCTCGCAGTGTCTGCTCTAATTCATCCAAAGGTGTTCTATCGGGTTGAGGTCAGGACTCTGTGCAGGCCAGCCAAGTTCCTCCACCCCAAACTCACTCATCCTTGTCTTTATGGTCCTTGCTTTGTGCACTGGTGCGCAGTCATGTTTATAACAGGAAGGGGCCATCCCCAAACTGTTCCCACAAAGTTGGGAGCATGAAATTGTTCAAAATGTCTTGGTATGCTGATACCTAAATAGTTTCCTTCACTGGAACTAAGGGACCAAGCCCAACCCCTGAAAAACAACCCCACACCCATAATCCTATCTCCACTAAACTTTACACTTGGCACAATGCAGTCAGGTAAGTACCGTTCTCCTGGCAACCACCAAACCCAGACATGTCCATCAGATTGCCAGACAGAGAAGTGTGATTTGTCATTCCAGAGAACATGTCTCCACTGCTCTAGAGTCCAGTGGCAGTGTGCTTTACACCACTGCATCCAGTGCTGTAAGGCTTGTAGGTAGCTGCTCAGCCATGGAAACCCATTCCATGAAGCTCTCTACACACTGTTGTCCTAATATGAAGGCAACACAAAGTTTGGAGGTTTTTTAGCTATTGACTCTGCAGACAGTTGGTGACTTCTGCACACTGTGTGCTTCAGCATGCGCTGACTCCACTCATTCATTTCTCGTGGCCTACCACTTTGTGACTGAGTTACTGTTGTTCCCAGTTGCTTCTACTTTGTTATAATACCACTAACAGTTGACTGTGGAATATTTAGTAGCAAGGAAATGTAACAGATGGACTTATTGCTAAGGTGGCAACCTATCGCAGTACAATCTTGAATTCACTGAGCTCCTGAGAGCGACCCATTCTTTCACAAATGTTTGTAGAAACAGTCTGCATGCCTAGGTGCTTGATTTTATGCACATGTGGCCATGGATGTGATTGGAACACCTGAATCCAATGATTTGGAGGGGTGTCCTAATACTTTTGACAATATACTGTATATACTTTGTGATTGATAGAGCTGCATTATACTTTATGTATGTCAAATGGGCCTTGACCCTGATTGTAGCTGCTGTCGTTAGTAGTAGTTTTGTAATTTAGGATACCAAAAAAATCTTTTGGTGGAGGAACATAGTGTGATTTTATTATAACATAGTATCTGAGAATTACTTCTAGCCTGTGTCCCTCAATGAAGTAGAAAGAAAAGGCCATTTCATGAATTTCAGTTCATTAAAGTGGTTCTAAAGCCATAAGGTTTCTTACCTTAATGCATTCTATGCATTAAGGTTAAAAATCTTCTGTGCCTGGGATTCCCCCCTTATACTAACCTGAGTCCCATCGCAATCCAGGTCTCTCTGCTCTGTCCCTCCTCACAGCTGTCAATCAAACTCTGATGGGGGGCGGGGCTGTTTCTAGGGATGCAGGCTGCGGGGCTCGGGAGTGAGCCTGCACAAGTGCTCCTGTAGGAACCAGCTTCCTACGGGGGCACTGGATGAAGAGGAGGAGTCAGGAGCGCCAAAAGGGGGACCCAAGAAGAGGAGGATCAGAGCTGCTCTGTGCAAGAGCAGGTATGACATGTCTGTTGTTTTAGTTAAAAAAACCTGAAGCCTTACAATCATTTTAAGAGAGATAGGTCCAGTTTCTTGTGATCCACTTCTAATATTGTTTTTCTACAAAACTAGAGCATAATAGGAATATTAGGGGTTATGCTGCCATGACTTACAGCTTTGTTTGACCGTGTCCAATTTTCTGTAGGGAGCAGCATAACCAAGTGTGTCAGAATTACTTCTCTACCCCAGTGTCCCTTAATGAACGCAACGCAAGGATTTTTACAGTAAGTCAACATTTATTTTTATTAAACAGACACCTGCATTAATTGGTGCTTTTTACCTACATGGAGTTCAGCATTAAATGTGGTGTAAAAGGTTAAAAAAAAAGAAAAAGGTATGAAAGTAAGAAAGAAGCTCGCTTGCTTATTTGAAGCTGTAATGTTTCTGGGAGTGCTATTTGGTACACTGGAGTGTATGGCAGACTGGCAATACATTAATACCTGATCGTTTCTGACTCACAGAAAATCCCTTTCTTGGTTTCTTGTTGGAGCAGAACATAGATTGTTTAGCACACATTACTAGATAATTTTTGCCTTACATTTTATGGGATTTTTAAGGCAACCTTGAAGCATATACAGAGAAACCAATTGTTAAAAAGATTAGCATTTTATTTAAACAAATTTCTTTCGACACATTGCTGTATATCAGGTAGGCAGTACATACTGACCAAAGTAAAGAGCTTAGACAAATCTATTAATCAGTTCAGTAAGTGAATAAACTTAAAACCGAACCAAGCCAAAATATATTATAAAAAAAAAAAAAAAAAGCCCATGAAAAGATACAATATTAATAAAAAAAAGCACATGCACTGTAATACTCCTTCATTCCAGAACTGTGGCAGCAATACTTCTGTTCATTGATAAGTTGTCTTTGGTGTTCCAGGCTGAATAACAGCCAGAATGATTCAAGCCCTTTCCTCTAAGCCCAGGCACTAATGGACCTGCCCCAAGCCTGTGACTGGACAGTGAAAGGAATAGCAGTACAGCAATGAGATTAGCCCTCTGCTCTTTCCTGTTATTGTCATGTTCCATTGCTTCTTCCTTCTCTCCTATTCAGACTGTAGGAGCTGATACCAATTTATATTCAAGTCTATATGAATTCTGCTTGAAGTTCAATTGTAACAGCATTCCACAGACAATACCCACAACAGGTGGACCTGTTTGGATAACTATACTCACAAAGGTTGAATATGTATGAAGAAATGTCAGATATTGGGGGAAAAAAGTGTCAACAGTAAACTCACCTTACTGAAGAGGTGTATGCACATAATGGTCATCCCAGAATTCGACAATTCTCATCCACAACTACTTTTTGCTTGAGCAACGAAATAATGATCAGACTGAGAATAAAATGACTTTGCAGTAATACAGGATTATTAACATTCCAAGATAATTGCCCTTGAAGTCAAAGAACAAGTAGCCGTCAAGGAGTAAAAATGAGGATTAAACATTGTCATTGGAATTTATAGTGTTAAGGACACGCTTTAAAAATTCTGCTGTGCCTCCATGAATTGTCATTGCTTGCGTCAAATTCAAGTATCTGTCTGGGGCTGGTACTTGACTTTGTTGCAGGAGATGGCTGGCACTGAGACTTTGTTACTGAACTCCCTGCCTGTCACACAGACAAGCACATTGGCTAAGAAATTCTGTTGTGAGATTAGTTCCCCATTAGGTCTGCATCCCTTGTTATTGTCAAAGAACGATATATTATTTAAAAATAATGTAATAATTAGAAAAGGGGAAACAAATGACTTCAGATCACAAATAAAAAAATGAATATGAAATTCAATGTTAAGGCCTAATGGATATAAAGTCTGTCACCCATATATCCAGTAGGATTCATGCTAAGGGGCTGGATTTTATTACTACCCCTCCAATGCAGATGGTACTTCTCTATTCCCCAGAATTTTAAAGAAGATAGATCCTTATTAGGTGCAGTAGATGGGCAACAATGAGATGACCCCCAAAACAGGAATGGTTTTACAGGTGGAGGCCACTGACATTTTTTCCCCTACTCCTCTTTTCTGACTGTTTTTCCACTTGGTTTTGCATTTGGCTAGGGTCACTGTCACTACTGGTAGCTCTACAAAGGTTGCACAGGCAGTCCAACTCCTCCAAGATGGCACATCAATAGGTGCCATTGCCAGAAGGTTTGCTGTGTCTCCCAGCACAGACTCAAGAGCATGGAGGAGATTCCAGGAGACAGGCAGTTACTCTAGGAGAGCTGGACAGGTCTGTAGGTCCTCAACCCATCAGCAGGACCAGTATCTGCTCCTTTGTGCAAGGAGGAACAGGATGAGCACTGCTAGAGCCCTACAAAATGACCTCCAGCAGGCCACTGGTGTGAATGTATCTGACCAAACAATCACAGACTTAATGAGAGTGGCCTGAGGGCCCGACGTCCTCTAGTGGGCCCTGTGCTCAATGCCTGGCACTATAGAGCTCGATTGGCATTTGCCATTGAACACCAGAATTGACAGGTCCACCACTAGCACCTTGTGCTTTTCACAGATGAGAGCATATTCACCCTGAGTACATGTGACAGACGAGAAAGGGTCTGGAGAATCCGTGGAGAACGTTATGCTGCCTGTAACATCGTTCAGTATGACTGTTTTGGTGGTGGGTCAGTGATGGTCTGGGGAGGCATATCCATGGAGGGACACACAGATCTCTACAGGCTAGACAATGGCACCCTGACTGCCATTAGGCATCGGGATGAAATCCTTGGACCCATTGTCAGACCCTATGCTGGTGTAGTGGGTCCTGGGTTCCGCCTCGTGCACGATAATGCCTGACCTCATGTGGCGAGAGTATGCAGGCAGTTCCTAGAGGATGAAGGAATTGATATTATTGAATGTTCCCCACACTCGCCTGACCTAACTTCAATAGAACATCTCTGGGATATCATGTTTCAGTCCATCCAATGCTGCCAGGTTGCACCTCAGACTGTCCAGGAGCTCAGTAATGCCCTGGTCCAGATCTGGGAGGAAATGTCCCAAGGACACCATCTGTCGTCTCATTAGGAGCATGCCCCGATGTTGTCAGGCATGCATACAAGCATGTGGCGGCCGAAACTACAGAATACCATTTTGAGTTGCTGCAATGAAATTGCAGCAGAATGGACTAGCCTGCTGCATCAGTTTTTCACTTTTATTTTCAGGGTGTTTTTGATGGAAATGAAAATTATCAATCTACAGCGGACTGAATTCAAACGATGGGGCTTCCTTACATTCCTAACACATTATCCAGTCCATATCAGTATAGAGATCTAGCATATTTTTCCCATTGAGATCTGATGTGTTTTCAAAGTGTTCTTTTAATTTTTTTGAGCAGTGTATATTACCTTGAGCAGCATCTTCTGCAAAGGAGCTCTTCCTCTACAGCCAACTGATGTACAGTAAGTGCTTTCCTGTAATATTTGACATTTGGCTTTTAATAAAGAAAACTCATATTTCCAGAAATGCAAAGAATATCATTACTGACCTCTTTCCAAAAATGCTGAATGCCTGTTATGCCAATCAAGTGGCTTCAATACTTTGAGTCACTGGACCAGCAGATTAGCACAGTCTACGCATGAGACAGCTAGTGGATTAGTAAAGCCTGTTAGCAGAAAGCATGCTGATATTGCTGGGCTTTCATATTAGATAGTCTAGCATGCTTTTTAGGCATATTCCAGCACTAGGCTCCCTTAGGCCCCTTTCACACAGGCATCACTCATTCTCTCAGGTTTTTCAAAGAACAGATTCAGTTTACACATCTGTTTAAAGTTCAGTTTACCCGTCAGTTTAGTTTACATTAGTTTATATCCATTTTTGCATATTTTTTTTTCTTAACCACTTGCCCTCCAGACAATTTACCCCCCTTCCTGACCAGTCTGTTTTTTTGCGATACGGCACTGCATTACTTTACCTGGCAATTGTGCTGTCATGCAACACTGCACCCAAATTAAATTTATGTCCTTTTTTTTTCCCCACAGATAGAGCTTTTGGTGCTATTTGATCGGTTCAGTTTTTATTTTTTGCGCTATGAATAAAAAAGACCGACAATTTTAAGAAAAAAAATTTTTTTTTTATTTTTTGCTATTAAATATATCCAATAAAAAAAAAAAAAATCTAATTTTGTCATAAATTTAGGCCAAAATGTATTCTGCTACATTTCTTTGCTAAAAAAAAAAAAATCTCAATACGTGTAAATTAATTGTTTACGTGAAAGTTATAGAGTCTACAAATGGTATACATACTGGAATTTTTACTAGTAATGGCGCAATCGGCGACTTATAGCAGGACGGCAGCAGGCATTCTGACACGGGGGGAACTGACTTGGTGTCATTGACATCCCTAGTGACACCAATACAGTGATCAGTGATAATAAAAAAGCACTGACACTAATGGCACTGGCATGAAGGGGTTAACATCTGGGACAATCAAAGGGTTAACTGTGCTATTTCACAATGGTGGCTGTGTGTGTGCTTCACTGTAAGCACACTGCTTTGTATGGCTCTGCAGTGTGCAGGAGCGGACAGTGGAGAGATCTGTATTGTTTACATACAGTTCTCTCCCCCGTTGGAGATAGTCGGCGATCACCGGGTGGCGGACAGTAATCACAGGCTGGGACCCAGTGATTGACAGCCAAAGCTGCGAATGGCCCCCTACCCGGAGCTGCAAAATCACATATGTATACGATTTTGTGCACCCGTGCCACCATGTAGCAACATTTCTACTATATGGCGGCTGCTTAAATGCTGCAGAGACCAGAAGTGTCAAAAATAGAAACAAAAAAAAATGTTTCTAGCCTAAAAATGGACATAAACAGATGGCATCTGTTTAAATATGTTGTTTCAACTGATCTAGACATTGGCTGTTCCGTTTAACTGGATGCTGCCTGGCCACAGTACATTTACTGCGTCATTGTGGGTTAGAAGCACGCAGCATGCTGCTCCTGTGACTGATATATCTACCAGCCACAGCAGACTACAATTACCAGTAAATGGGTATCATGTGATCGCTATGATTGGCCATAGAGGTCATATAATTACAATGTAACAGTCATGAATGGATTCCAAAAAAATTGTCAGTCAGTATCCCTGATCACTTTTACACCAGTTATATGATGACCTTGTACTGCACTGGTCACAGTATGTTAAAAAAAAATGTTAAATTAATTTTCCAAAAAATTTACAAAAAATTAGAACTGCAGAAAGCTTGACATGCCTCTTACTTAATACCTCAGATTGTCTACTTTCCAAAAAAAAAAAAAAAAATGCCACTGCACCGTAAGAGGCCATATACAGGAGGTGAGAGTATATACACTATATTGCCAAATGTATTAGGACACCCATCCAATTCATTGGATTCAGGTGTATAAAATCAAGCACCTAGGTGTGCAGACTGCTTCTACAAACATTTCTGAAAGAATGGGTCGCTCTCAGCTCAGTGAATTTAAGTGTGGTACAGTGATATGTTGCCACCTGTGAACTTTCCTTGCTACTAAATATTTACGGTCAACTGTTAATGGTATAACAAAGTGGAAGCAACTGGGAACAACAGCACAAAGTGGTAGGCCATGTAAAATAACAGAGCGGGGTCAGCGCATGCTGAAGCGCACAGTAGTCACCAGCTGTCTGCAGAGTGAATAGCTAAAGACCTCCAAACTTTGTGTGGCCTTCAGATTAGCACAACAGTGCATAGAGAGCTTCATGGAATGGGTTTCCATGGCCGGGCAGCTGCATCCAAGCCTTACATCACCAAGTGCAATGCAAGCAGTGGTGTAAAGCACACCGCCACTAGACTCTAGAGCAGTGGATATGTGTTCTCTGGAGTGACGAATCACTTCTCTATTGGACGTGTCTGGGTTTGGCGGTTGCCAGGAGAATGGTACTTGCCTGACTGCATTGTGCCAAGTGTAAAGCTTGGTGGAGGGGGGATTATGGTGTGGGGTCTTTTCAGGGGTTGGGCTTGGCCCCTTAGTTCCAGCACAGGGAACTCTTAAGGTGTCAGCATACCAAGACATTTTGGACAATTTTATGCTCCCATCTTTTTGGGAACAGTTTGGAGATGGCCCCTTCCTGTTCCAACATGACTGCGCACCAGTGTGCAAATCAAGCTCCTTAAGGACATGGGTGAGCGAGTTTGGCTTACTGATTTTTCCAAAGTCTGCACTTAGATACAGGTCACATTTTTGGAAGCCCCTGCAACAAAAATTTAACTTTTGGTGAGATACTGAAAGAAAAAAAAAAAAAAAAAGTAAAGCACATCTAAAAGGGATGCAGTCCTTGCAAAGTTCCTCTTCGGAGATCTGCACGTTCTGCGGCTGATTGATAATTCTAAAACCACTCCCATACAGATTCACTCAATACATGGACACAAACAAACCACTATTTCTTCAGAATAACAAATTGTAGGAATCTGCAACAAAGTTTGTTACAATCCTTGCACTATACATAGATCACCCAGAAGTGTCAACCCCCCCCCCCCCCCCCCCCCCCCCCCCCCAACAAAAGTGGAGTTATGCTTTAATTGGCTCGCGTGAAATTTACAGCATCTACGAACTATGGTGTGTGTGTGTGTGTGTATGTGTGTATATATATATATATATATATATATGTATGTATGTATATATATATATATATATATATATATATATAGCTATATATAGATATATTTATATTAAAAAAATTAAAGAAACACATCAGATTTCAATGGGGGAAAAATATGCTGGATATCTACATACCGATATGGACTGAGTAAACGTAAGGATGCCCCATTATTTGTTGAAATTTATCAACCTACAGAGGAATGAATTCAGACACCCCAAAAATCAAAGTGAATAAATGATGCAGCAGGCTAGTGACAGTGCATTTTGCTGAAGTGTCATTGCAACTCAAAATGGTACTCAGTAGTTTGTATAGCCTCCACATGCTTGTATGCATGCCTGACAACGTCAGAGTATGCTCCCAATGAGATGACAGATGGTGTCCTGGGGTGATTCCTTCCAGATCTGGACCAGAGCTCCTGGAGAGTCTGAGGTGCAAAATGGCATTGTTGGATGGACCGAAACATTGTATCCCAGAGGTGTTCTATTGGATTTAGGTCAGGCAAGTATGAGGCCATTCAATGTGATCAATTCCTTCATCCTCCATGAACTGCCTGCATACTCTCGCCACATGAGGCCGGGTATTGTCGTGAACCAGGAGGAACCCAGGAACCATTGCACCAGAGTGCAGTGGGTGGCCAACCACTTCATGGCTGAGTTAGTTGTGTTGTTCCCAGTTGCTTACACTTTGTTATAATACCATTAACAGTTGACTGTGGAATATTTAGTAGCAAGGAAAGTTCACAGGTGGCAACCTATCACGGTACCACACTTGAATTCAGCTGAGCTGAGAGCGACCCATTCTTTCACAAATGTTTAGAGAGAAAACAGGTGGCGCACACACCTAGTGCATTATCCAAGGTTTATTGTAGGAATTAAATCATAAAAACATACTCACAGATGAAGCATGTATCTAAAAAGCATAGAAAAATGACAATGGCCACAACGGCGGGCAAGGTGTTCTCACTGTCAGTGCGGTCAAATGGCTGACGCGTTTCGGGGACGAATCCCTTTCCTCAGAGCTGATGACCAACCTCTGATGCTGATGCACGATGAATGGAAAGTAAAGTAAGAGCCCTGCTGTTTCAGGCATCAACAGCAGGGCTCTTACTTTACTTTCCATTCATCGTGCATCAGCATCAGAGGTTGGTCATCAGCTCTGAGGAAAGGGATTTGTCCCCGAAACGCGTCAGACATTTGACCGCACTGACAGTGAGAATACCTTGCCCACCGTTGTGGCCATTGTCATTTTTCTATGCTTTTTAAATACATGCTTCGTCTGTGAGTATGTTTTTATGATTTAATTCCTACAATAAACCTTGGATAATGCACTAGGTGTGTGCGCCACCTGTTTTCTCTCTATCCAGTGGCTGATTTCCCCGTCTGAGGAGGGCTGCACCCCTGGAACATTTCCTTTTGGTTGTCGCTGTCCTGGTACCCTTGGCTTCCCTTTTGGCTGTGCATATCCTGAGGCGCTGGAGAGTACATACGCTTTCACAAATGTTTGTAGAAGCAGTCTGCATGCCTATGTGCTTGATGTTATACACCGGAATCCAATGATTTGGATGGGTGTCCTAAAACATTTGGCAATATAGTGTACATACTCTCACCTCCTGTATATGGCCTCTTACGTCAGACCAAATAGTGCTTTTTCCCTTATACAGTTGTGTTCAAAATAATTGCAGTCAGACATCACTAACCTGATCAATCACTGTTTTTGGTAGAAATTATATTTCTACATGGCAAATAATTTATTAGCAGGTGTAGTAGAGTAATAGAAATCCAACAGACCCAACAGTCATGACATGCATGCTGCTGATTCTGTAGAATTGAATCACTAATCGAAAGGGGCATGTTCAAAATAATAGCAACGTGGAGTTCTATTAGTGAGGTCATTCATTCTTTGAAAAAACAGGTGGCAATTATTGCCCTTATTTAAGAAAGGAAGGCAGCAAATGTTGTACATGCTGGTTACAGTGCATCTCTCTGAAATTCTGAGGAATATGGGTCGTTCCAGACATTGTTCAGAAGAACAGCGTAACTTGATTAAAAAGTTGATTGGAGAGGGGAAAACATATAAAGAAGTGCAGAAAATGATAGGCTGCTCAGCTAAAATGATTGCAAATGCCTTAAAAAATGGCAACCAAAACCTGAAAGACGTGGAAGAAAGTGAAAAAACTACCATTCAAATGGATAGAATAGCCAAAATGGCAAGGATTCAGCCAACAATCAGCAGGAAGATCAAAGAAGTTCTAAAGTTACCTGCGAGTACTGTTACAATTAGAAGAAGCCTATGTGAAGCCAAGCTATCTGCAAGAAGCCCCCGCAAAGTCCCACTGTTGAAAAAAAGACATGTGCTGAAGAGGTTACAATTTGCCAAAGAGCACATTGACTGGCCTAAAGAGAAATGGCGCAACATTTTGTGGACTGATGAAAGTAAGATTGTTCTTTTTGGGTCTAGTGGCCGGAGACAGTTTGTCAGACGACCTCCAAACACTGAATTCAAGCCACAGTACACTGAGAAGACAGCGAAGCATGGTTGCGCAAGCATCATGATATGGGGATGTTTCTCATACTACGGTGTTGGGCATATTTATCGCATACCAGGGATCATGGATCAGTTTGAATACATCAGAATACTTGAAGAGGTCATGCTGCCTTATGCTGAAGAGGAAATGCCCTTGAAATGGGTGTTCCAACAAGACAACGACCCCAAACACACCAGTAAACGTGCAACATCTTGGTTCCAGACCAACAAGATTGACGTTATGGAGTGGCCAGCCCAATCCCCGGATCTTAATCCAATAGAAAACTTGTCGGGTGACAAAAAAAAATGCAGTTTCTGAGGCAAAACCAAGAAATAGAGAACTGTGGAATGTAGTCCAAGCATCCTGGGCTGGAATACCTGTTCACAGGTGCCAGAAGTTGGTTGACTCCATGCAACACAGATGTACAACAGTTCTCAGAAACAGTGCTTATACAACTAAATATTAAGTGATTCAAAGGAAAGCAAAATCTTCAAACATTTTTCAGTTTATATAATGAATGTTTGAGTTTGTAAAGAAGAATACAAAACACTGCTATTTTTTTGAACAGTCTAATATTCACTTTTCTTCAATCTTTTTTTTAGAGGAACAACACAAATGTGATATATTCTTCTTCATGTTTTGATTTGGAATAGAATGTGTAGTGTTCCCAATGTATTTGTGTGTATGGAAATAAAAGCTATTAGAAAGATTTTGAGCTTTATTCACTTTTTTCAACACACTGCTATTATTTTGAACACAACTGTATATATACTGCTCAAAAATATTAAAGGAACACTTGTTAATCACAGTATAACATCAAGTCAATTAAACTCCTGGGATATTGAGCTGGTCAGTTAGGTAGCAGAGGGTTAGTCAGTTTCAGCTGCTTTGGTGTTAATGAAATTAACAACAGGTGTACTAGATGGGCAACAATGAGACAACCCCCCCCAAAACAGGAATGGTTTTACAGGTGGAGGCCACTGACTTTTTTTTCCCTACTCATCTTTTCTGTTTTTAATTGGTTTTGCATTTGGCTAAGGTCTGAGTTACCAATGGTAGCATGAGGTGATACCTGGACCATACAGAGGTTGCCCAGGCAGTCCAGCTCCTCCAGGATGGCACATCAATACGTGCCATTGCTAGAAGGTTTGCTGCGTCTCCCAGCAATCTCAAGAACATGGTGGAGATTCCAGGAGACAGGCAGTTACTCTAGGAGAGCTGGACAGGGTCATAGAAGGTCCTTAACCCATCAGCAGGACCGGTATCTGCTCCTTTGTGCAAGGAGGAACAGGATGAGCACTGCTAGAGCCCTACAAAATGACCTCCCTGCCCTGTGCTTTTCACAGATGAGAGCAGGTTCACCCTGAGCACATGTAACAGACGTGAAAGGGTCTAGAGAAGCCATGGAGAATGTTATGCTGCCTGTAACATTGTTCAGCGTGACTGTTTTGGTGGTGGGTCAGTGATGGTCTGGGGAGGCATATCCATGGAGGGACGCAGACCTCTACAGGCTAGACATTGGCATCCTGACTGCCGTTAGGTATCAGGATGAAATCCTTGCACCCATTGTCAGACCCTATGCTGGTGTAGTGGGTCCTGGGTTCCTCCTGGTGCACGACAAAGCCCGGCCTCATGTTGCAAGAGGATGCAGGCAGTTCATGGAGGATGAAGGAATTGATACCACTGAATAGCCCCAAGCTCGCCTGACCTAAATCCAATAGAACACCTCTGGGATACAATGTTTCTGTCCATCCAACGTCGCCAAGTTGCACCTCAGACTGTCCAGGAGCTCAGTGATGGCCTGGTCCAGATCTGGGAGGAAACACCCCAGGACACCATCCGTCATCTCATTGGGAGCATACTCTGATGGTCAGGCATGCATACAAGCATGTGGGGGCCATACAAACTACTGAGTACCATTCTGAGTTGCAATGATATACACACACACACACACATATATATATATATATATATATATATACAGCATGTACGAACTATGGCGTGTGTGTAAGTTCCACATGAGCCAATTAAAGCGTAACTCCAGTTTTGTGGAGGGGGGGGGGGGTGACACCTCTGGGTGATCTATGTATAGTGCAAGGATTGTAACAAACTTTGTTGCAGATTCTTACAATTTGTTATTCTGAAGAGATAGCGGTTTGTTTGTGTCCATGTATTGAGTGAATCTATATGGGAGTGTTTTAGAATTATCAATCAGCTGCTGAACCTGCAGATCTCCAAAGAGGAACTTAGCAAGGACTGCATCCCTTTAGATGTGCTTTACTTTTTTTTTTTTGGAGTATCTCACCAAAAATTAAATTTTTGTTGCAGGGAGTGCCAGAAATGTGACATGTATCCAAGTGCAAACTTCTGGGAAAATCAGTAAGCCAATCACACAATTCTTAATTACATTTTCAGGCAGCGTTCTGTACACCACCCATGTACATAATGCCTCCAAGTAGCCATATTGCATTGTATTTAACAGAAAATTACAGCACTGCAGCTTGAAAAGGAAATGTTTTTAATAACATTCAATTACAATATGACATGAGTCACAATTGTATATGCTATATTTTTGTTTATTCACCATTTTTTCCCCATGAAAGTGGAATTACCCTTTAATATACACCTGTTGGGATTTTTTTTTTTTTTTTTTTTTTAACTAAAGACATGTAGCAGAATGCATTTTGAACTACATTTATGAAGTTTTATTTCAATTGGATATGTTTTGTAACAGAAAGCAGAAACCCTTCTTTCTTTTTTGTTTTAATAATAATAGTGGGCCTATCAAATGTATTTGTAAAATAAAGAACAGTACAAATAAATATCAAATGGCTTATAATGTTGCACACCTTCAGAAGAAAAACCACCCTGAAGCAAACATCATTGTAGTATCTCTTTAAGAATGTTTTTCTTTGTTTCCTGCAGAGTTTAAAATCTATTTTTTTTTTTTTTTACAAAGCTCCCAACTTCAATGCCATATAAAACTCTTGAGAGTTACATCCTCGTGATCTTTCTTCAGGCTAGAAGAGCAAGTTGTGCAGAGTCCTTGGGGACTGACTCTTAAGGAGAGTGCTGGCGGCAGCTGGTGGAACAGGAAATTTGTTCAGAAACTTAAAGCATTCATAAACACAAAACCATACATGTAGGGGAGTTTGGTAGAGTTAGAATAACTGGATTCAATTTGTTTAGTGCATCTAGATCTGCTA